GCCCAATGTGATTTATTGCTGGGGACAGTATTGAGCCTCGGTGAGAAATATTAAACAAGTTTAATATTCTACGACTCGACTGCCCCCGACACAAACCATCGCATCTTTCTTTGACTCACACAGACCTGACACAACAAACTGCATCAGGCTGCGTCGTACGATGCTGTCTGAGTTGGCCTTTACAGAGCTCTGCCACATCTGTTTTTCAGATGCGCATTCACATGGATACAAAAACTACCAGGGGATGCATGCTAAATTTTTTCTAGGATTGAAAACTTCAAACATTATTTTTTTCATGAATCGGGTATTAGATAAAGATGAACGTCTATGGATGAACTATTGAACTTGATTCAGATATGGAGCTATATAAATGTTAATCAGCAATCTATTGACAAGACAAGACAGAAAAATTAATAATTGTTAATGGTCTTTGGCATAGTTTTGTAGTGAAAGGTTGCATATTTTACAGACAAAAAATTAACCACAAGTTTTCTTTAACACAGTAAACTTATACAGTTGACTGTGTCATAAGTACTTGAATGACTTGTAGCTATTGAAGTTTAACTGGCGTGTAAATTGCTTTCTACCTCACCTATAACAAGACTACAACACATAATATCTATAACACAGCTACCCACACTTTTGTATTTTTATGGCCTTTGTTTTTCATTCTGCAGAATGCATTGACACATGCCATAATTGCATTCTGTTTAAAACTTGTTTTCACACCTTTGTTGTGAAAAACAGTTTTTGACTGACTGGGGATTGGAGTATGTGAAAAAAAAATGTCCAGGTACTACCAGAATCACCAAAATTACAAGGAGGCCAATAGAAATGCTGTTTTGTGAAAGGTGATATGCCTTTTGTATGTCTCTATGTGCAGATAGACAAAATTGCCACTCTCACTCGCATCAAGAATGGACCTTTCAGAGTGTAAATCAAATTATAACAAGTGACCAATCCGGGCTGTGCCAGGAATAAATTATGTGCTTTTTTCAATATACCTGTGATGTATATACCTGTCTCCATCCAATTAAAAACCCCTCCAGTTAAAGACCACCTCCAATTAAGGACCACTTTTCTGTGGTCCCAAATTAACCAATGTCTTCTATGTTTATTATTCTAATTAGAGACCAAAGCTGCTAAAGCCATGGAAACCCCGGTCCAAGAAGTGATCTTTAATTGGATTTTTTATTAATTAAAAGTACAAGACTAGCATTTTTCTTGGTGCAAAGGACACTAACAAATCTAACTCTTTGTCTTGTTATTGATACTGATACTACTATGATCTTAAAAACATATCATGTAAGTATAACATATGACCAAAGAAATCTAAATCTGATTTTGGACTGTTCATATGGGCTCATTAGGATATCTAGTAACTGGATTACAGGTTCAGAATGTTTACATTTTCAACAGTCTTAGGATGAATGCAGGCTAACCAAAATTATTATATGGGATTGCCTGACTTTGTCATATTAAATAAATAATATTCATTTTCTTAATGACAAAATTTTGAATATCGTACAGCATTTGTATTGATAAATATCGTATGGGAAATTTTGATAAAAACATTATATTTAAAATTCAATCAGAAAGCTTTTCAACTTCCAGGAAAACACAGATCAAAAAAATATCAGCCAACGTAACCTTTATTTCTCTTTGCTTCATTTACAATCACTATAAATAATTGTTTTTCTAAGAAAGGTGAGAGTGAAAAAGCAAATGCTTGTAACAGCTGCATATTATATTAATGTAAAAACAATGTCTTTAGTTAGTTTAAATATGAAAATATTAAAATGTAGGTGTAAAAAATCTGAGACATGAACGATTTAACAACAAAAACATAGAAATAAATAAATAATTTTTATAAAATAATTACTAAAATCTACAAAATTATAATAAAAATTTAATTTGTTCATGTAAAAGAATCACGTAATTTATCAACTTTCAATAAATTACTGATAAAAAATTTCCGCTGCTAGAAATTTACTGGTAAAGGCAAAGGCTTTAGGAATGGTACTAAACATTCGTTGATCAACGAGGGAATTTTATACCTTGTGATATTTATGTAAAGGATAACCAAGGAACAGTTAAATTCCACTGTAAAATTTTGTAAATAATAATAATAATAATAATAAATAAGATTTGTATAGCATTTATATTCATTTGATAAAATGCTCAAGGCGCTTGAGAAAATAAAGAAAATGCCGTCATATGTCTCTATTTTTATTGTTTAATATTGCACTATATTTTTAATAATTGTTTGTAATTTATAATTGTTTAGTCTTAGATTTATATTTTGTAATTTTATATTTAGTCACACAATTCAGCATATGCTGCAATGGACTGTTTTGCATGTGATATATTTTTTTATTCCGAATGAATATACCCAAATTTCTATAAAATATAATGATTAGGCATTTCAGTATTTTTATTATATTATTAAAATTTGAGTGGCTATATCTTCTGTTAAAAGCTAAAAACTTGACTATACAAATTAAAGAATTCAAATATGATATTGTTATATTTTAATAACCTTAATAATTAAAATTTAATAACAAAGAGTTCATCTTTTATATTAATTTATTATTATTGCTGCTGTTGTAACATTTGTTATGATATATTAAACATATATTGTATTGCAGTGTCTCCATTGTTGTACTTTTTCTTTTGTAGGAGAAACTTGACTGGGTTAATGAACAAAGGAAAGAGAGAAAAATGACGGTATGAATTACTTATAAATTATTCATGTACGAGTTGATAAAGTTGAATTATTTAGTTTTTAAATGTTTAATAATATCATATTAATATTTCAATTTGAAAATGAACATTGATGTTGGTTTCTTTGTTTATAAATCTTACTAAAGCTGTAGTCAAGTGCTTTAAAGCTATTGGTATAGAATTATGACATTGGGCAATTTTGTAGCTGTAAAAGACATAGAAAGATAAGTAGATAGATTGATAATTTATATGTAATAAACAAATAATATTTTTGATGTATAAATATTCATATTAGATATTTGTTTGCATTTTTATTCAGATTCCATCAACCTTGAAAGAGGAGAAAGAATACAATCCGTTTCTACGGACACATTCTCCTTCCATTTTGGAAATCGTTGGCTTAAAAATTGATGAAGATGATGACAAGGATGCAATTCGAGCAAAAGTCTTGCAAGAACTTCGCATTCGCAAAGATAAATATTCTTACAAACTGTAAAACACATAAATAATATCAGTGCAGTATAAGATTTCATGTGCGATTATATTGTAAATCTATTATGCCCTACAATTCACTATTTTATTTTAAATGCAAATAACTAAATGCCTACTTAATTGATTTAATTGCCCATTTTTTTATGCTTGATATTGGTTATGTATTTAATGTTTACCATATTACCTCAAACAATATAATTATTATTTTATTATTATTATTGTTATTATTATTATTATTACTATTAATTATTATATTATCTTTTTATTATTGTTATTATTATTAGTATTTATTATTATATTATCTTATTATTGTTATTATTATTATTATTATTGTTATTATTATACTATTGTTATTTTGTTTCTTTTATCCTTGCTTGCCTTTTTCCATCTGAAAGTGAAGAACTTAGTGAAAGGCTGTGTTATTACAAGCCACATACGTTTTAATAATAATAATAATAATAATATGTCGCTTTTATATGGTGCTTCATGCACAATGCCTTTAAGCGTTTCACATTACTACCCCAGTCATTGGGAGTCCAAGCCACAACCGATGCGCCAACTGCTTCTACGGTTAATCATCAGTCTGCAGCTGTTGTACACTTATATCATCAATATAATTATATGTGATTTGTTGATTTGTTCTGTAAAATCATATCTTGTTTTAATCTAGTTGCCATTTTTGTCTTTTTTTTTAAATGAGGTTTATTACACACCAATGGATCATGATGTTTTTTCCTGTTGTTCACTTGCGTGTTTGAGGTTTGGAACACTTGTACCAATACTTTTGTTTCATTCATTTATTTATTTGACCATCAAATACACATTCATACAGATAGATTAAATAAAGACAAATCAAATTCAATCTAAAAAGAAGTAGGTCAGGGATAGCTAAGCTAAAGAAATTATGACTCGCAAACAGTCGGCTATCCTAGACAGTGACACAGCAATCCCAGAACAGATTCAACTTCCTTCATTGTCCATATCCTTGTTGTTGTTTACTGTATGTTGTGTAGCTTTATTAAAATTACCTGTATAATTATGGACATTGCACAATAGGGTGGATCAGGCCACAGGTGAAACTGTAAACAAAGTAATCTGTGGTTTTTTAATCATGCACATATCCAGACAACTTGAAATAATTGTAATTAATTACCACGCTTGGTTAAAACATCAACATATATAATTGTTAAAGTATTGTAAAACATTATGTTACAATTATTTATTACCCTGAAAGTTAAAGATCATCCGAGAAAGGTGGAACAAAATTAAAATATAGTATTTATCAAGTACTACGCAAATTATGCCTTATTACGAACGTACGGAAATAGACAAAAATACTACAGAAATTTATCATATAGGCCTATACCCATAAATAAATAGGTCTAAAGGCCAGAACAAATTACTTTTCCATCAGGATCTTTGGTTACATTCAAGTGGTGGGGTTGAAAAGTGGGGGACGAATTGCAAAATAAGGAAGTCTTGGGCCATAGGCCCAAGGCATGGCTGGGGGCCAGGTTGAAATTTTAGGGGAGGGGCAGAAGGGAGGGACTTTTGCAGGAGTATAGACAACCTCAGCCCCACCATGGTTGGGGCTGAGGTAAGAAGATTTATGATTACGGCACCTCTAGTTGGCCGGAAATGGCACTCTCTGACTTAAATTTTAATATAATTTTCTTTTTTCTCCACATTCAAATTAGAAAAAAAAAAATAGGGAGGGTGGGTAATCATAATAATGCCCGCTTACATATTTCGTGCAATTTATTATCTACTGATTAGCTTGTGATTTATTCAAACTAATTCTTTAGTCTCTGCATTTACAGTACTTTTAAAATCAATCAAGAGGTTTTTCCATTTCTCCTCTTTTTGAATTTCACTTTTGTGCGAGTAGTATTGCGACTACACTATTGTGAGTGGAAATACTACCGTTTAACTTACGATCAAACACAACTAAGGAGATAAGAAGCACAAAAGACATTAGTTAGTATTTTTATTTGGCAAACAAAGGTGATTTACTTAATTTATCATTATCATGATGTCATGGCGATCGTAAACTTGTGGTATCACACTTAAATAAGTTGATGTAGATAGACCTACCCATGTCCAAACTGTATAATTATAAAACGGCTATATAACATTCAATTAACTTTATTTTGTTGAAAATTAAAAAACAGGAATATATGTATGCAGATAATACTAAAAACTAGTATATACAGGTCTCAATAATATACAAAACGAATAAATCACTTATAGTAGAAATTGTGCACTTTTGAGTTTGCAAAAATGTTGGCCTAATTGGTTTACACGCTTCCAATTTTAACAACGTACAGTACATTGTTTTCATAATAGCCTCTGAAAACCGTTGCACCCATAAAATTGATGGAGTGGTTACTGAGGTGGTTACGAAATGTACAAACAATTGCATTTTTACTCGGTATTGGTCCGGAAATTTGCTCCACACATGGAATAGAGCACAAGTGAAGAGACAAAATTCATGACAGTCATTCGTAATTGTTGTTGTTCTTCCACTCGCTTTGAAAAGTGGGATTTTACCTATTAAAAGACCTGTCCCCCACCTATCGGCAATTTAAGCAACCCATATTTTTCACTCAAGGAAAATTATTATTAGGTGCTAAGGAAATGTTTTATTTACCATAGATATTGGAATACTTGATTACTAACTTGAGATGCCTGTTATATATAAGCATGTACAATATTGTTTTGTTGGTTATTATTAATATTATACAGTATATAGACAACAGTTTACGGAATATAGCCATTTATAATCCCACTTTCAGTGTGACATTGAGGAAAGTGATATTTTGATGTTTGTATGCATCAGTAAAGTTAATTGGAATGATGTTTTGCCCTCACCTAAATCACTTGCAAGATTTTATTTTGCAAATATTTGGGAATGTATTGAGCATTCAGTACAATACCACGTCAAGTAGGGCAAAACATCATTCCAATGACAGTGATGATTGTGCGATTGGGATGTAATGTTGAATAAAGTAATTATGTACTAAGGTGAAACTCATGTTGTTAAATTGACTGAAACTACTTTTTGAACTATTGTCCCTTGATCTTTATGTTATTGTGCAAAATTTTGAAATCAAACATCCTTTCCGAGACAAATAGATAGATAAAAATTCCTCTACTCAAAACACTATCTCTTAAAAAAGACTGTCAATGTCTACCACTGGTATGTCTTTTGAAAACTGATTTTGAAAAATTATTTTCCACTTTAACTACAGGTAGGCTTGATGATCAACAGTTGTTTCCCCAGGTGCCTCAAACAATGGAACCAGATAGGTGGCGCTATACAATGATATAGTTGATAAGTGGACATGGAGGTCTATACATTATTTCTTAAAATTAAATGCATTACATTTATTAGTAGTTTAGTTAGGGGAGGGGTCTCGCATGTACAAACCCTTGGTTTTCTCAAGACTCCTTTATATCATTTTGACATTTCAATTTTAATTCTCAAAGCCGTATTTTGCAAGTGGCCCAGGCATTATAGTAAGAGCTGGGTGTGGGGGATAATTTGGTTTTTAAACTGACTTGCTGCCCCTAACTGCGAATACAAGATTTTAAAGTTAGTAGGGTCTGAGAGCATATCCACCCCAGGCCCAACCATGGTTGGCGAACAACCTCTGAATGCCCAGAAATAGATGCTGACAAACTGTAGAGCTGCTACCCCTCACCCTTAAATGCAGCCACAAGATTTAAAGTTAACATGGAGATGAGTCGTCTATCTCTTTGGAAATATGGCACCTCTGGATGCCCAAAAATAGCAGCTCGCAAACCTGTAGAGCCTCACACCTCCCAATCCTGCTGTACATTGACACACACAAGATTTAAAGTTAGTGGGGACTAGAGTTCATACTCTGCCATGGAATAATAGAGACAAATGTACAGGTCTACAGTATTGCGAAAATGATAGAGTGTTCAAAATTTAATTTCTATCAGTGCCATAACTAGATGAATTGAGTTGCTTATTCCTCCATGAATAAAGTGCAAGGAACATGCAATACATTATAGTACAATGAACAACAGTTCCTGGTATGGTCTTGCTGCACATATAACATGCAAGGTATTGTGAAACAGTGGCGGCGGGGTGGGGGAAGCCCCTGGTTAAGCTCCCCACCCCTCTATCGGCCAAAGCTCGACGGGCAGTCGGACCAAAAAAAAAATAGGCCTAGTCTTCCCATCCTTGCCATTTCCGGCCATCTAGAAGTCCCAATTTTTTTTACAAAAATCTTATTTTGGGATGAGGGCAACCCCCTCCCGGCTCCGGCCCTCCGATAACGCTGCACCCCCCCTTCCCCAGTCGGACACCTTAGCCCCATAAATTATATCCAAGAGCCGCCACTGTTGTGAAATATAAACAATATGCAATAAATAAAACATGTTATGTATTCACAGGATGCAATATGCTATGCTTTACAAAATAGGCCTTCAGAGATGAATACCGTAGAGTTTCAAATAACATACTGCTGATACAATTAAATTAATTATCACGCCCTTAGATGAGTTGTACTATCACTTGAATTGTTAAGTTTTTTAATTAAGTTCTATATTGTTTGCTTCTGCTAGGTATTATACTGATAACACTTTGATTTTAGTCAATTTTTGGTTTATTTTTATTATTTTTATAGTGCCTTTTCTTTGTAGATACAAAGCGCTTCTTTTCGCTTGTCATTCGGTCCAGATGCTTAAATGTTGCTGCTGGTAATCAGCGCAGGAGAAGGCAACCCCACTAGGTACTTGTTATAATCCTGGGTAGAGAGAAGCAATGCAGATAAAGTGTCTTGCTCAAGGACACAAGTGAAATGTACAGCGAGGGATTGAAACCCCAACCTTGACGTTGGGAGACCAAACCGTTCCTGCTGCGCCAAACTGCTTCTAAATATTAATGGCAGACAGACCATGGAGGTATACATCCATGGACAGATCTAGGCCTACCAGGTGATAAAAACATACCTAATAGAGCACTAAGATTCAAGGTGATTCAATTGCTCTTTGTTTGATCCCCCACCCCTTACAAACACAGACACCCGTACCCCTTGTCAGGCACCATGATGATGTTTTCGGACTGAATATATCAGTTTTACAAAGGTAATCAAAGGTATTGATTGCCAATCCCTAATATTGTGGTCTAAAAATGTATAATTTTGAGCCATTCTAACCCATAAAATTGCTGTCCGTGAACCCCACCAGAGATTTTTTGTACCAGGACTCCTATTGTTAAGGGTAAAAAAAAAAAAAAACTTGCTAAAATAACAGTAGTTCCGTATCATTTGGGTAGTTGTCGTCTGGGCCGATTTGGTTTTGGGACGAAGTGTCATCTGGGGCCAATTTGTTTTTGGTCCGAGTTGGTTAAGGCTAAATTATTATTATTATTATTATTATTATTATTATTATTATTATTATTATTATTATTATTATTATCTTAGTTAAACTTATGTATTTATTATAAATATGCTTATAAGTCTGAGAGGGCTATTTAATTTGATTAACAAAAAGAATCATTAAACTGCAGTGTGCTGCAAGGCCTATTTATTATACAAATACATGGTAAACAGAGTGCTCCATCGTGAACTTTATGCTTAATGTTTTACTGCTTTGAACTTTCAGCAAAGTGGGTTTCTCGGCAAACTGGGATTCATGGTTTTTGAGTCGGCAAACTGGCATTTGGCAAAATGGCTTTTGGCAAAGTGGACTCGGCAATCTGACAATCGGCAAATTGGGTTTCGACAATCTGGCCTAGGGCCTAGGTCTCTTATTACAGCCTCTAATATATTTCTCGATTCTTTAATGTAATTGTTTACTTTCGTAATGTTGGCAATGCTTATCTACCAGCATTAAGTATACTGTTGATACTGCTGGTAGGTTACGCTACTAGAAAACTATTTCAAAATGTTTCAATATTTTTCCGAATATCAAAAAAGAACTACAACAAAGAAAATTTGAGATAGCAGATTGATAGGCCTCCTTTGCATAAATGTATACAAAATATATTTCATATTGAATATCAGGGACGGATTCAATAGGGGAAACGTTCCCCCGTTTTGCCACAAAATTTTTAAAATTTCAATGCAACTCAATGTTAGGGCACTTAACTATTCTGGAACTGTTGTGCTCCCCCACCCAAATAATACAATACAAAAGTATTTATTTATAATTTCATATCCCCGACATTTTACAAATATAGAATCAGGCCTGTCAAAACTGCACCGGCTTTGGCCGGACCACTATTTCTCAATTCCATTACTTCTTAAAATAAATATATGCTGATACCTATAAATTATATGAATTTACTATTAAATTTTGCATCAAATTTGTCAAGCATCAGCCTCAAGTAGCAAACCCATCAGTCGGGCCTACATGCCTTCTGGGCTGCCTCTAGTCTGCTGGCCATAATTTGACACATGGTCGGTACGCTTGAGTCAGTCCACGGTCAATCCGCTCAAGTCAGTATGGCCTAGCCAAATGACTCTGTCAAACGATCCACTCGAGTTGGCTCTGTCAGTTGTGACAAAACGATATAAATAAAGTTTGACATTAAACAGTCCAGTAGTTTTTGAGTTATGCACCCAGAAGGACCAACATAAACATCACAGACAGACAGACACAGATGCACAGACACACAGGCAGATAGAGCTCATTGCAATACCCTCGTCCCACTTCATGGGGCGAGGGTAATAATCTACAATATACACACGTGCCAGTGGTAGCTCCAGAAATTTGCCCACAGGGGGTCTGAATCAAGGGGCTGACTAGAGCCTCCATCAGGGCCCTGGCATAAAACCCCTGGTAGGGTTCAGAGGGTGAGTTTTTTTAGGGGGATACTATGCTTGATCCTTCATTTCTAATTTTACCTGATACACCTCCAAGTGTGTTTTCCCACAGCATTATTGTTTTCCAGTATTTTGCCTTTCATTTATATGTAAATATGGCTCCTTCCCGTCCATCATCACCATCATTTTTCAAAAGCTCGGTATGCTGTACTTTTGTACGACGATTACGGCAAGTTTCAGTGAACTGGATTCAGCAAACTGGATTTCGGAAAACAGGTCGGATACTGTTATAATATAGCTAATTCAACACAACTACATTGAAATGCAATTTTTAGTTATTTCTTTGAGTCAAGCATTATTTTTCTTATTAAATATATTTTTGAAGCAGATTTGTTGGTGCTTTTTTGTTTGTGTTTTTATTTTTTGCACAATTAATGTTTTCCAGTTATATTCACTGAAAGAGCTGAGTTAAATGACAGATTGAAACTATCTCCTTTATAAATAACTGTGTACCACACCTATGGACTACCTTACAAAAAATATAGAGGGCACTATTCAGTATTTTGTTGCATCTACATTCATGAAAGTTAACATCCTTGAAACTGGTATGCATAGATGATTGGTTTTCCTAACAGCCTATATCTATGTATAATAAAACATATGAACCACTTAGAATTAAAGATAATGAAATTGAATTATCTGGGTTTCATATATGTAATCATAATACTGTTATAACTAGTTCTGAAAAAAAAAAATTTAAGTTCAGTGTTGCAACTTGTTGGTTCCCTTTTCAGTTATGCCTGATAATGCGCATATTTTTTACTACAAATTATTTGTGTAAATCAATGTTATTTTGAAGGTTGTTCTCATTTTTTACTGTTATACTAATAAGCCTTTATATACATACTAAAAAATTTATGTTAAAATGTTAGTGATGTAATAAAATAAAGTTTGAATCATGAGTCATAAACATTGAATTTTTATAGGTACTGGAGCATAGTTGGACATGAGCTGCTAATTATAATTAAAACAATCATCAAAAAGTACAGAGAGAATATATATATATATATATAGAAAATATTTATTAAACAGGCAAAATCAAATTTCAACATCACATAATTCATCTAATGTAAATACATAGTTATTTATGCTATTGTGTATTACTGGACATTTTCAAACAACATATGAGGCAAAAGACGATTCACAACTGTAAAATTTAAGTGGATTGCAAACCATGATACCCTGGATGTTGAAATACTAGTACTATAAAATCCAAAAATAGCATAAAGTTCAGGTATTAAAACATTTGCGTATAACGTAGGCGAATGAAAAACAATAAAACTACTTTATAAAGTCATAATAAATATGATGTACTCCAGGCACATCCTATTCAGATTTTTTTTAAATCTGTTAAACTCAACAATAGATGAGCTGCGAGTTCAGTACTAACAAACACAACACTGGAAATTGTAGTACTTATTTGACTCTAGCACTTCTTCAGGTGAAAGTAGATTTCTATTATATCTCCATCACCACTACATTGTTTAAAGCCCTGTCCAGACTATCAAATTTTATTTGACAAAAACATGTGACATGCCTATTATGGTCATGATGACATCACATTATTACCATATATAGGCACATCATGACTATATATGGACATACAACAGTTATTTTGACAATTTGCCCAGAGCCTATGAGATTGATTACCGTATACTTGTATTAAAGAGCACTGTGTGCTTGAAAGCTAGTGTAAAATCAAATAAAACTAATCTTTAAAGGTTTCTAGTTAGCACAAATCAGGTTCATATGAGCAAGAACTATGAACTATTGACCTACTACGATTTTCAGTGCTGCATTAAAACTCAACAAGGTTTGATTAGAATTTCATATACTGCTTGTTTCAGACATGTCAGTGTCGGACAATGGTTTAAAGTCTGATCAATATTGCCTATGAGTTTGATAAGTGAGCAGCTTAGCTCAGTCGGCTAAACTGGTGGTGGACAGTGTGGAGATCTTAGCCTTGGTCTGTTGTTCAATTTTATCCACTGCTCTCCCGTTCTAGAATGAGGGTTGGGAAAATTCGCAATGCGTTTTAATAGCACGACTTCTATCGGATGAGCGGATGAGGTCTTGAAGCTGACAGGTCCTGTGTGCAATGTGGCCCATGTGCAGTACTCTCTTTAGAAATAAGCAAGGGATTGTCTCCTGTTTACTGCCAAATTCATGACAAGACGGACCCACTGGAAATAAGCCTTTGGACTTTTTGTGGTTTGATCCTTGGTATACAGTATTTCACTTTGAAAAAATCTAAATTAACCCAATAGAAAACATTGTTGCTGGTTTTATAGTTGTACTGTTGTTTGTTTTCTTTTTTTCCATTGTAGTGTTTATGTAATAGAAAGCCTCTTTCAGTCAACATCTCAAAATATTGAAAAATAAATACTATATAAATTTACTTAATAAACAAATAAAATAAATATGATACCTATCTTTAGAGTTAACCTAATACCCACACATCTTTAACATATTACAATATGCATGACTTGGAATGAAAAACTAGATCTACTTCACACACTGTAGAGTTTGGACATTGCTAAAGATTGTTACAGTTTCCTAACTCTTTGATACCTCAAGCATAAACATAGATGCAAAGCATTATGATAGTGGTAGTATAACAGAAAATATAATAATTATTTAAACTAAATATTAATCAAGGTCAAAGTTCAACTGAATTTGATGAAGTAACTTCAAATTATTGAAATAAATTCAAGGCTTTATTTTCAGAAATAAAAAAGTACATGATTCAATTTCTATGTCAATATATTTCAAAAATATTTACAGCATTATTTTTGAAGCCATAATAAATAATGCTTGTGTGTTACAATTCTTAGAGACTACTGTATACATTTTTAAATGTATACAGTAGTCTCTAAGAATTATAACAAATAAAAAAATATAAAAAAAATAAAATATTCCAGTACTTAAAAGACTGGAATATTTTCAGAAATCTGTTTTTCTATTAAAACAAGAAACATAATCCACCCTCTGAATCTCTGGATCAGGATACACTATTCATTTTAAAATCGTATGTATTATATTATTTTATTTAATTCATTTGGCATGACAGAAATTCTCTGAACAGCCAACAGTAGGACCTTCATTCTGTCCATTGTATTCCAATACTAATTGGATATAAGTACAGTTACTAATTTTTTAAAGAACTGAAGCTGTATTTTGCAGGTCAACAAGCTCAAAATTCCATAGTCCTTGGTCCAAATCCTGTGAGACACCTAGATTTTCTTTCTTATAACTAAGAAAAACTGATGCCCTTAGCCTCATAATAAAGAGAGCATCATATAGGTTATTCTGTTCTTAAGAGGTGTCCAACACTCTCCCATGAATACTTTTATTTGCAAAAGTACAGATCGTCATACTAAAATGATGTGTAGTGCTGACCTCTGACCTGTTAGTTCCCACTTTTAGACAGATTTTAGTGTCACCTCTCATCATCAGACGAATCTTGGTTAACAGTGGTCCATGCTTGTGTTGGGAAAAGATTATTAGCTGTGAACATCAAATACAAGATATACAGTAATGAATATGTTTATAATTGTAATATACTTTCTCAAATTATATATTATGTGTGGCCACTTTTTGCACAGGCTGAACTACAATAGCAGTTATTGTCGATTGAAATTGTTTGCTGTCTGCTTTGCTATTATTATCTTTTATTTAAGGTAAAGGTCAATCCCTAAAGATTGAAGCTCTGGGCTCACAGGCCGGAGTGCCCGTCTCTCTTTCCTTGTCATTTGTGGCAGACTATGCAAAGAGGGTTCATCACTCCTCTCACACAGCAGTCTGTTTACTTTCCCAACATATGCCAGTACCCATTTATACTCCTGGGTAGTGAGAGACAAATGTAGATAAAGTGTCTTGCCTAAGGACACAAGCGACTTGCACAGCGAGGGTTAGGAATGGTATATATACACAAACAAACAAAACAGAAAAAGTATGAATTAAGCTACATACTGACTACTACTTATATATAAAGAAATAAAATGGAATTTAGCCAACTTACCAGGTGGATGCCTCTCAGTTCGCGTAACTGCTTTTGATGATGGTACTGGTTTTACTACTGGACCAGGTCTGCTTACACTCATACCCAGACTGGTGGAGTACTGGTTTGAGGTGTCTTCTAGCCCTCTAGCCCAATCTGGACGGCCATCAACATCACTTACATTCTGTCAAAAATGTAGTGAAATTCAAGGATTTTAATTGTATGCAAATGAAGTAGTATTCTAGAAACTTGTATAAGTAACAATAAGCAATAAGCAAAGAAAGCCAAGGTAATGACACCATGTGAAGAAAACTCATGAATACCCATACGCCACTAAAAACAATCATAATGGTGGTGATGAAAATAATGATGATATTAATAAAATTAATGGTGGTTGTTGGTAGGTAGTGGTGGTAGTGGTAGCAGAGTAGAAGTTGTGGCACAGGTGGAGGTTTTTGAAGATTTGTGGTTGCTGTCGGTGGGTAGTAGCGATAGTTAGAAGCACAGCAAATATACTTGCTATCTAACTATTTATTTCTGAGTAGTTATTAGGCAAATATTGTATAAAAAGAATAATAATCTTACTGAAGTTGAGCTGGCTTTCTTCAATTTGTAGGCCATACCAGCAGACATCGGTCTACTCTGCTTGGCGCTCTCACTCATGTCCGTGATTGAGCCACTTTTCTTTAATTTGGTACCTCTCTTCTCCATCCTCCTCTCCCTGTAAGACAATCAATCAATCAATCCATCAATTAATTCATCGATCAGTGACCTCTGCAATCCATGTAGTATGAAAAATAAACAACTTTTTTTTATAGAACATTTAATACACTGTACAAGTTCCTAATCGTTAAATGTTACTCAAAGCTGGCAGTTTGGGTTTTAAACTCACCTTGCCTTTAAAATCTCATCATTGTTATCCAGGTAGTTGTTCCTTACTGTATCCACTGCTTTCGGATCTGTTCCTCTCCATGGCTTATGTTCGAGTGGCTTTGAGGAGGCTGCTGCTGACCTAGGCCTTGGTGGTTTTCTGGCACTGCTTACACTACTTTTTGTTTGCTTCTGTTCACCATTCACAGGTTGTGACGATGGGGCATTCTGTTTGGTTTATAAAAATTCATGACATTAAATCTCCAATATCAAGTTCTTTAATAAACCCAAAAATATTTCTGAATAGTAGTAGAGATATTTCTTATTGTCACAAACATTTTATTCTTTTTTTTATTTGTGGCGATTAACTAGTGAATTCTTGCATAGTCATAGTTAACAATTTACAATTGTAATAATGGAAATTAATATTAATGATGACAATAGGTATAATATAATCCAGGACAGAAATATAAAAATATAATATTGAACAATTCTAATATACAATGTTTAAAAATGGCAAAATGCAGTTAAGACTTTGGGGTTCCAACCAACAAGTTGGGAGTTCAATTCCAAATTTTGTCATGTTAGTGTCATTGGCAAGACACTATTTTGTCTCTACCTATAATAGTGTGTACCTAGTACCTGTCAGGGGGTGGGGACAGTTGCACATAGTGCATAACTGCTTAAGTACCCAACTACTGTACTATTATATTTATATTTTTTGCACTGCAATGGTATTAAATAAAAATAAAAATTTATTTAAAAAAAAAATACAATGGAACATGGTACTATAAAACGCTAACTGCATATATTAAACACAATGTGCCAAGTAATTGACACTGTATAACCTCACTTACCTTTGGTGGTAGATAATGCAGGCTTCTTACGTTCTCCAGGTACAGCCTCTTCCAAACACCTGTTTCAAATGGGCTGGGCTGGAAGGTAAGATACCAGTTAAGCTTCAGAGCCTTTGGCATCCATATCTGATCAGACTCACAAAGGAATTTCCAATACCAACACACCTGGTAAAATGTAAATAATACCAACATAGATGTATTATAATAATAATTTGTATATTTTTATATAGCACTTACTGGATGGAGAGAAACAACACAGATAAAATGCCTTGCTCAAGGGCACAAGTGAAATACACAACGAGGGATTGAAACCTTAACCTTGAGGTTGGGGAAACCATGGAGGTATTATTGAGAAGGAGATCACTCGGCAACAGTTCTCTTTGACGCGACAAACCCATGTGTTCCCCGTTTTGCATCGCGCGCGGGCGTATTACCCTATAATTCACATTTTTTCATTAGCAACAACTTGGCAATGACATGCATTTATACACTTCCAGCAGAGCAGTTGTGCAATAAAGCGTTTGATTTTAACCCATTAAATATCTTTATAATGAACAATGTTCCCCTGATTAGATTTTTTCGGACTTTTGGTATGTTATTATTTGTGTATTTCAGGAACGGATTCCATAAAATATTTATGTTAAAATTACTTCTGTGTTCATTATAATTTTGTCTAAAGAATGATTAGTTCGACTATAAAGCTAAGTCAGCGTAAAACTCAAAAATACTCAGATTTTGGATTGATTTTTCGAATAGCTAACCCTTGTTAACCCTAAAATGACTTAGTTTATTATAATCCTCAATCATTTATTAATTAATATCTGTTAAAGTTAGAATTAGTGAATTTTGGCCAATTTATGGAAATTGAAGTTGAAATATATTATACTTTTAAAGGTCATGTAAATGTTCCATTAAATTCGAAACTTTTTTTGGTGGAAAATATTAATATGTTTGATATTTTATGAGAGATAAATGTATCAGCTTCAAAATTGAAATGATTGCGCAGCCATAGTGATTGACTGTATGCAGTGCGCATCGAGAAAAGAAGGTGCTCTCCATTTCGCCATGTTCAATTTTTTGGTAAACTATGCCTGCTGAAAATTTGATGGCAGGGAACACATGGGACATCAAGGGCATCGCGCAAATGTTCTTCACGCGCTGCGGCAGATTTGATCTGGGTTCATTTGCATAGCGCTGCGTGCGCGTAGCTTTTTCGAGTGACCTCCTTCTCAATAATACCTCCATGGGGAAACTAAACTGTTTCTGGTGCGCCAAACCACTTCCACAATAAAAATATAATATATCTATGGGTCAATCATTGAAATTAAAAAATTTATCCCAATTATTGATTTTTTTTTTGAAAAGATATATAAAAGATAAATATATATAAAAATATATCCTATTTATACTCCTTTTATAACATTTAGTTAAAATATTCTCAATTCAATTTTCATTGGTCCAATATATAAAAAAAAAATACATCAGAAAAATTTTGTTTATGCACTGCTGGTAACAATGCATTCTAGTACAATATGGAAAAATAATATTGTTCTTAGTACACAGAATATTGTTTTTAGAATTACAGTATGTTACGACTACCCTGACCATTACAAGAAGAATGAATGCCAATTTACGTTGGGCCTATAAATAGGGGACTCTGATGAAAATTAATAAACACAAAGATGATTATAAAAAGGGATTTGAAAAAGAGGAAGTGGACCATTGTTACTCTAATTTGGATACCTTAAGAAAAATGTATTGCCCTTGTTCGCTCCTTTGAACTTTCTCTTTTGGACAATTTTTCCCCCTAAAAGTAATGCAAAATATGAATTTATAATTATGAATGTATGTGAATACATAATGCTCAATCCAGATTATTAAATTTTATTAAACAATAAACTGTTGTATCATGCCCATATATAGTCATGATATGACTATACAAGGTCACGATGTGATGTCCTCTTGAACGTAATTGGGGCTTGCCATCCAAAAACCAGCATACTGTCACTAAATGTTAAACTGAGTAATTAGCATAAGAATGTGGTGGTATTGTATACTTTAGTACAGAGAAGCTGTAATACTTTTACTCATAACTTTGGCAATAGGAAGTCGATTCCAGTAAATGACCCATCATTTTAAACCTTAAAATATGGAGAATATTATATTAAAAAGTAAATTTTCCTTTTTTGGTCACTGATGATGGTTTGGCGATGGCAAGCCTCATTTATGCATACCACACGTTTTTTTGTTTTTTTTTTGTCAAATAAAATTTGATAGTCTGGGCAGGCATTGAGAATAACAAAGAACAAACCTGAGCACATCTACACAGGCTTCTTGGATCCAGATATGAAAAGATATAAATGCAAATTACTCGGGGTAAGACCCTTGTAAAGTCTTCTTTTCTAACAGGCACTTGTAAAGACACAAGTCCTTTAACAAATTCAAGTTGGTTGAGATTACTTTGTCCAAGCACGTGCTCCAGTGCTTTCTTCTTCTGCAAGTCCGTCCATTTGTCAAACTGAATATTCAATATGATAGGGTATCATTAAAAAACAATATTATTGCTGTGGATTATCAATTATCCAGAAAGTATTTTCACATTAAGTATTTTCACATCCAACCTTCAAGTACCCCCAAAACCACCCTTTTGAGTCCTTTAATATAATACATAATTCCATAATTTATAATATATAGTCCTAGGCTATAATTTTGTAGTTACATAATTGTACTTTTGTGTAATGTAAACAAGCAGATATTGAGCATTGATGGCACATGCATGGACCTATTAAAAATATTATTATTAATAGGTCCATGGCACAAGCTACATTAAGTAGAATTGAACTGAACTGAAATATGCTGTAACTGGGTATTGTCATGTTACTTTAGTATACTATCTGGAGTGTCAATCAAACTTAACAACTGACCAATCAGAACAGGGCAGGATGGAGGTACTCAGGGATATCGTAATGGTGGGTGGAGCCACCCAGCCTTGAAGCTTTCTACCCAGTCTAAAGCTAAATTCATGGCCCTCCACCTACTTTTATTAACTTCCTTGCTCAGCCTTAACCCACTCTTATTATTTTAATTTTACCAATGTTTGTCACCCACCAACCCTCAAAATGTCTACCACCCAACCCTTAGTTTTCTACAGCTACAACCCTGTGTACTGTACAGTACAGTACTATTACATCATCATCACGTCCAAGAGTTGCCTTACCCATTTGTGAAGGATGTCAAGTCTTTCTTCAAATACCTAAAAAGGAAAAAAAAATCAAATGTGTATCTGGTGTCAATTAATTAAATGAAATTGATAGTATTTTGAATTCAAAAATTAAGATTTGGAAGAAAATGTAAGATAGTGATTCGATATTGATTAGATTATATACTCACTATGTTTTGTTATGTTGTTTTATTGCTCAATGATAGAAAAACAATATCATCTTCTGGCGTGGTATATCACGGCAGTCTAAAAGAATTCTCAATTCTGATTTTTATTAAATCCTAATCCAATCTACACATACTGCAACATCTAATCAGAATTCAATACTTAGGTAATGGTTTAAGACTGGTGTAACTATAGCCATTGCTTTTTTTTAAAGAAATAAAAAAGGAGGCGGATATATTTACAAGACCGTAGAAAACAAATCAGTAAACGATATACTGTATTTATGTCAAATAAATAACGCATGCACAGTCATACTTTATTAAACTTACATTATCGTTCACTCGAAATTAGCATTGGCCCAAGCTTACCACGGCACTGATTTAAACTTAATTTAATTTCCTACAATAGTGTGTAGTTTAATCATTAAATTAATAATTAAATTATTGTGTTAACTTTTCAAATAAAAAGTGATATTATAAGCTGGAAATATTTGTGTTCTTTTTATTTTACTCATGTAATTTGTTGAACGAACACATGACAAAATACAATACTAGGCCAACGCCAAAACAAGATGGAGGTTCCCTGCTAAAACTAGCACTCAATTACCACAAAATCAAAATGATATTCTTCTAGGCCAGCCTGTATTGTTGTATGATAGTCAATCATCACATTAATGTTTCATTTAAACACAATTTACTGACGTCGTCACTAACAAAAACAACATCGTTAACATAGCCTTTAGTTGGGTCGAGCTCAGATCGAGCACAAAGAACATCCGAGAAAGACCACTACGAAGTATGCTATGAATCAAAAAGTAAACAACGAATATGTGTGTATTTTCTGTAAGATATTTAATTATTACAAATAAAGTAAGACAAAACAAATATTTTTAATAATTTATTCAAAAACTGGCAGTTAATTTGAATGAATGGCCACGCTGTGCATGTGTCTACAAGTATGGACGCAGAGAGCATTGGATTAAACAGCCTCGCTCATACGTTGTGGACAAGACGTGAGAGTGAATAGAATACAAATAGGCTTATTTCTAGCTCATTATCAAAATGATTCAATAATCTATTTAATGATTGAAATACATACTGTAGAAAATTCAGTTACTCTACCTAAAAGAATGATAAAATTATTTTTAAATACCTATTTACGAATTTCAAATCTCCCTCTCGTAAAATGTTTTCAAAAATTCATTCGACCATTTCAGTGGTTCCTTCAGTACATTGCTTTACCATCGATTTGATCATGTGTTGTTCAATAATGGCAATTTTAAAGAGTATAACTCCTTTGTTTTGTTTGTACAAAAAAATTGTATAGTCAAGTTAATGTACCGGTAATTAACATGACTAAAACACTTACACGTTTGGGTGATCTGATTTGCATACACCATGAATTCATCATGGTGATTTGCCAACAAACAAAAGGGCCTCGGCAAATTAGTGCCATGGTGAGCTTGGGCACACTCAATTTTGAGTGAACGATAATGTAAGTTTATTAAAGTAGTTCCTTCCTTCTCTAGTTTGCCTGGCCTTATCAACCTGTCCTAGGCCCCCTCCATCATAGCCTTGACCAAGGCCCGGCCCTCTCTAATGCAGCGAACTCTAGTAGGGCCTAGTAGCGTAGGTAGGCCACGCTAGCTAGTCGAAGCTAGGCTAGCTAAGTCTAGGCCTAGGTATTTGTAATTGCACTATTTAAACTTACTTTGTCATTAGTAGGCTGGTGGTTCATAGGCGTCCATGTGCTGAACCTTGCTTTTGAATCTAGATTCCGTTTTTTGTTGTCCAACCGCTTTTGATCTCCAGACCAAGCCATTGTTGATAGAAATTCAAAACATTGAAATTATTTAGGAGGTGATTGATGTAATCTATTCCCCCGGGTAAATCTCTATAAACCTGTTCATGTTTAGTGACAGAAGCTATTTGTATGGCTCACGGCAGTCGGTGATATATCAACAGAGCCGAGAAACGATATTGGAGTTTATGAAATGTATCACTAAACAGATTTTAAACGGTAAAAATAATATATGTATGATGTGATTCCACATAATTAATTTACATAAGCAATTTTTATATTTTTAAAATGATATTTTAATATCAATACATTTTTTAATGCATATTGTAACACATTTTTATTTTTTCTGATTCTTCACGAACTCGGTGTCGGCAACAAAATTATCATAAAAATCGAGGTGGAACCATCAAGACGGCGTGACTAGGATTGAAATCTGAAAACTTTTGGCCTTTTCTTTAGAGTTTGCCATTCCCAGCCTTCAAAATTTCGCTGTAACGAAGGTTCGGGAGTGCTGCACACTTGGTTACAAGGTTTTGATACCTACAAGACTTTAAAAAGGTGAGAGATAGAAATGGTTCTCACATCCATGCCAAACATCGCCATGCCCATGGTAGTACTCCCTGCTTGTTGTAGTAGGCATAGGCTAATGATTAAGTGCCTAGCTAGGCCCTAGGCCTATTATATTTTTATAACGTACAATACAAGTGAGGCCATAATCTAGTCTAGGCTAACAATGTTTTAAGTAAAGCGAAGTTTTAAAATGATTCTTTCCAACTTTACTGTTTTTTAATCGTTCATTGTTTGTACATTTTTTGAATAGGGATATTGAATGAATTTTAATTTATATATACTATTATTTAATTACGTGACTATCGGCCGTTGCGAGCGCGATATCGTGGTACTGCTATCATTTTTGCCAGCGACTCGACTGTTGCAACAGCCCTCTATTGTTTTTGCTGCAGAGGTTGTATTTATTTTTTCCCTGTGACCTGAAAATAGTGATGGAGTAGTTCACATGTTCCTCTTTCACCTACAGTAGTCATCAAATCAGTATTTTTCCGACTTCAGGAAGTGAGTAAATTTATTGCCGAAAGTTTGAGTTGTCAAAAACATTCCATTTTTGAAAATAAGATAAGTTTATTTTGTTCTGAAACCAGTTTATTGTGTTAGTTTATATATTTATCTACAGCTGGGTGTAATATTTAGATAGCCTGAACACCGAAACCTAGAATTTTGACCGAAAATAAAAAGAGTGTTGTGAATGGAAATTCCCAAAATTTGTTCGTACAGTGATGCGTGAGTGGTCATGCATGTCTGGTCTTGCCTGATCGCACATGACAACATGTTTATTATACACACAGCCGCGATCGATTTTATGTTGTTTTGTTTTATCCAAGTTTGTATTGTTCTAAAACCAATTTAATTTTAATTATATCAATACTTAATATGTAATATATGTATAATCATATTTTGATGAAATAAAAGTGGGACGACCATAAGAAAGAGAAAAACAAATTATTTTCAATAGAGGGTAGGAAAGGGGGTTGGGTTGGGTCTGGTGTGGTCAGGGTTGGGGTGAGGGTCAGAACACCCCTACATATGCCACTGCTTTTGTTCTTGTGTGCTTTCAAATGTCTTATTCATTGAGGCATGTGGAAAAACGTTTAAAGACATTATGGCATATTATAATTAATTATTTGTAATTCATTAATTAATTTAATTGTTATTTAATTAATAGATGATTAAATTTTAATGAGTTTTATAATGCTTCTTTTGTCCATTTTGTGTGCTTCCAATTGCTTTTTAATTTAATGAGAAATATATAGAAACAAAAAAGTTAGGGCATTTTTTGGTACTTACCGTTTATAGGTTTTTTTCCCGCTTGAGCTATAGTACAATCAATGTTTTATGCATGAGCTCTTGACTTGAAGTGACATCTTGACTTGAAGTGACAGGCCAGTTGATATGCCAGTCTGCGCAGATGAGCTAACCCAGAGAATCGGGAATCATTGCAATGTGACCACCAAGGGGTCGTCACTACAGTAGGATGACAGTCAGAAAATGTTTTTTTAGTACCCTAGGTGTTTTTTGGTGCTGGTGATATTATGTACATTGTTGATACAATATTATGTAAGATGTGCATGGAAATTGCCCTTAGTTTTAGAGTGTGCAAACATATCATTCCTAGTACAGGTTACGTTTTTAGTCTTTGGCGTACATGTACCTTATTGTTGAATGAACTGAAAATACAATCAGTATATGTACATAAATGTATGTAAAGTAGTCCTAATAGACATAATGAGTACTAACCTTCCTTTATTACTGACAATGAAATCAATGGTTTTCACTCAAGAACTACTGTAATATTAATTAAATCATGAAGCTACTGTTTATTAATATAATATTTAAAAAAACAGCTTATCAGTGTGGCTAGAGGCCTTGGTTAAAATACTTTTCATGAAATTCTTGTTCAACTACGGGTAACATTATTGAGGCATTGTGTGACCCAGTAAACACTTTTACCTAAAGACTTCATAAAACATGGTTAACTTAATGATTCATCCAACTGAATTCCAATCCTAATTTTATCATGTACTGTATGTCATACTCAATTTATGATCAAATGACCTTACAGTAGTTTGTTTTTCTAATAGTGATGAACATAATTCAAATAAAATATATTATTAATGAGCAAACAATACCTTAGAATTAAAATAAAAAGGGGCATAACTACCCTTTTCTCCCCCAGTTTTTAAATATTCAAAAATCTGGCCCGTGATTTTTCAATTTTAGCTTAGCAAATGTCTCAAGTCAAAATGTCCCTAAGCAAATATCTTAGCTGATATCAAACCATCTTAGTAAAATCTTAGCTTTAAAATCTTCTTAGATGTCTTGTGCGTACAATCAATTTTTTTTTATTTTAATCAATTTTTAAGCTAAGCAGTATTGATAAATCTGACTTAAGCAAAAAATAGACAAATTTTAGCTGATCTTTAATTTGATATATTTGGCCCCTGAATCTTATTACCTGAGTTTTTTTTCAAACACCCCTTTGTGGTGTTTTGACAATTTTCTTAAGCAGCCTGGCATGAAATGTAGAGTTCATAATTTTGGTACATTATAGCATACTATACCATATAATATATCTGACTTTCTCTATTATACTTTCCTAGTGACACTGTGAGCAATGTCTCAAGTCCTTGGAACCAAGCTGGCCAGCCAGGCAACACCACCTATTAGTAATAGCACTGTGTTGTCAAACCAAACGACACCTCTTAGTAATAGCACCGTGTTGTCTAACCAGACAGCACCTGTTACTAGTACTGTGTTGTCAGGCCAGCAACAAACGTCTACAGGCAGATTGGCTACTGCAGCTATACTGTCTGTTGCGAGTCCAGCAAGTTTGAGCACCAACCTCACAGAAGCAAGCCAAGAAGTTGTTGTTAGTTAACATTTGTCTTTTTAAATTGTAATTTTTATCTCAAACAATTTAAGTGGTAGGCAGTCAATAGTTATAATGCAGTCATTTTAACTTTATCATTTTTTATACATTTATATATTTTTTTTTTTTTTTGTCATTTTCATTTCATTTATTTGGTCCAGAGAACATTAACATTGACAAACACAAAAGAACAGAGAGGAAAAAACGACATTCAATTGCCAAAAAGTGAACAAAATCACTGTCTAGTGGCTCTCTGATGTCAATACGAACATAAAATTAATTGAATTATCATAAAATAGTCAAGTAAAAATGTCATTAAAATATAGATACAAATATGTACAAAATCGTCAATTTTGTAATGTACTGTACACTTTTCAAAAATCCCAGAAAACTATTGTCTTGCTTTGTTATTTAGCCTACTTGCAATTTTATAAATTAAACTAATTTGATTTAATTGGTTTTTCTTGTAGGTTCCAACTGAGATGGGTTCTCAGGTGGCAAACCCCAAAGAGAAGACGCCTATGTGTCTTCTGAATGAACTAGCGCGCTTCAACCGACTTCAACCAAAGTATGAACTAATAGACCAAACAGGACCTCCCCATTTGAAGGTCTTTAGCGTGCAGCTATGTCTCGGTGATAAGAAGTACGATGCGACCGGATCAAGTATTAAAAAGGCTCAACACGAAGCTGCCAAGTCAGCCTTGAGAGAATCAACCCTTCCTAAGCCCCAGCCCAGACCACCCTCCACCCGCACCCACAAATTCAATCCTAACCCAGATGCATTAACTGCCACTGTTCTGCTTAATGGATACAGTATGAAGAATGGTGTTGCTATTAATTACACTACGGTCCAGTCTGCACCCATAGATGGCCCATCCATCCATCAGCATCCATACAATCCATATGGACATCAACAAGTCTACTATCCTAACTACCGACGCAATATGTACCCGTGAGTTTTAAGTAGCTCCTATACCCTCTAAAATAATGAATTCTTTCAAGCCCTTTGTAATTGATTTGATGTGATGCAGCATCACCCATACTTATACATACTTATATTCATCATTTGTTTTCATTGTAAAATAAAATGCTGTATGCTTCTTTAACTATCCATCTTATTGGCCATCGTGACTGACTGAGAATATTTGTGAGGTCTCGCCACAAATGAGTCTCATGGTTAGAAATTCAAAAATTGAGTTTATATTATATTTGGGTAGATCACTTATAAGCTTTCAGGGCTCGATTTAGTACTAGCCCGGCGTACAATGTCTAGTAAAAACCGCTCCGGGCTAGCCTATTTACTATATTTAGCCTATAATCCCTGCACAGGAGGTACCGCAGCCCAGAGTACACTCTAGCTAGCTTTCAGCTCTCCACATGCGTGAGTGTTTAATTATTAAGATGATCCCCAAGTCATTCACCAACCAACCACTACAGGATGGCATGTTATCTTTCTCTATACTAAGATCTTTTGATCGTTCAATCTGGTTAATTTAGGTAGTTAGAACATTTAATTTAATGTACTACCTTATATTCATATTATTTTCTCATAATGATATTTTTAAAATGTTCAACTTTTAATAATTAAGTACTTCAATGCTATAGGTAGGCTAGGCTAGCCTAGGCCCTAGGTCTTGTCTAAGCCTAGGTAGCCTAACCTAGCCTAGGTAGCATAACCTAGCCTAAGCAAGATTTATTTTGGGGGCGAGAGACCTAAAGATTTAACAGATGCATTGGTTTGATTGATTTCTGGGCCCTTTGTTAAATATTAGAAAGCCAAAGTTATAACCAGGGAGATGTAAACATGCTCATCTGTCCTGTCCCTGTTTTATAACCAGAGTCGATTTTGCACCATGGGTGATTTTTTTTAATTTATTTATTCAACAATATTTTGAGAGGGTAGCTCAAACAGCAATGCTACAGAAATTATGAAATTGCAAATCAACCTTCAAATTTAATTGTCGCTAATAAATATTTTGAAACAAAAGTTTTTCCTGTCTGTGGGCTAGTAAAATATTCTGTGGGCTAGTAAAATCTCTAGTAAACTAGCCCGTTGGGCTAGTTACAAAAAAAAGTTAGGGCAAGCCCTGGCTTTCATTTGGTCTTTGAATGGCTTCCCTACTATAAGTAAATCCAGAGATGTGAGCATTTAAAGTTTAGGTGTATAAGAAGGTGTATTGAGAAAATCGACTTCAAAGATAAAATAACCTGTACAAATAATATGACTAGACTTACAGAATATGTGTAGAAAACACTGTTTTAGCAAGAAAATTCACTTGCAAAGTATACAATCATAAAATATAAGTATTAAGTTATTCAAAATCATTAAAATCAAAATTTTGTAAAAATATTGACTTTGGCCTGTTTTGGAGAATATCTCAATATGATTTCACCAACGATGCGTCTCATTTCGTGGTGACACCTCACATTTTTTGTCCAAGGGACCAAAACAGTTATTGAGAAGATTCTGCACACTGAAATTCTTATGAAATTCTTATGCCTGCTTCATCTGATGTAGTCAACTGTGGTTTTGAATTTTGTGAATATTTTAATCCAGGGAACATCATTTTCGTTTTTTGTTTTTTTTTTCAGACATCCTACACGAATGGTCAGCGTCATTTTGAATGTGGCAGGCAAAGAATACAATGGAGATGGACGAAATATGAAGGAAGCGAAACAAAATGCGGCCGCCAAGGCACTGATGGACCTCAAAGAGGCAGGTGAAGATGTCACAACTTTAACTAAAGACCAGGTGAGCATGACAAGCAATTATTCTCTGTCCACACGATCAAATTTCCCTCAAACTGTTGTATGTCCATATAAAGTCATGATGTGCCTATATATGGTCATGATGTGATGTCATCATGACCATATTTAGGCATGTCACATGTTTTTGTCAAATAAAATATGATAGTCTGGACAGAGCTTAACACTTATGATTTTACCATGGGACTACAGTATATTTATTATTTTGCTTGCATTTTTTATAATTATGTTGTATGACTTTCATCACCCTGATCATTATATTGATAATGGTGAACATGTAAAAATGTGGACCACTAGTATTTGTACCTATTTATTTATTTATTTGTTCTTTATACTGGGTTACCTCTTCAGCAAAATGTTACTGTTTTCCCAGAGGGGCCAGTACACATGAAACATTAAAATCACAAGAGACACAACACAGAATATCAAAAAACATTAAAATATAAGAATGATAGAAAGGAATTAACTACTGTACCCCCCACATTCCAAATTTAAGAACCCCTATGCAGAAGTACATTGTGCCCAGAACAATAGTTTGATGTTAAAATTTGTACCAGTTTAATGCCTATGAATGGGAATCCACAACAACATTCCAAATGGAATAAGCCTTTATTAAGATTAAGCACATTTTTGTTGGGTTTTTTGCTGATCTTTTTCTGTTCCTTTTTAATGTGTCTTTGCCAAAATTTGACATTTCTACATCGTTGGGGATTATAT